CTCCCTTATAGGTGATTTGATGCTTCTCTCTTTCAGCTTTTAAGATTCTCTCTTTGTCTTTTAGTTTTGCCAATTTGACTATAACATGTCTTGCAGAAGACCTTTTTGGGTTGAATATATTTGGAGATCATTGAGCTTCCTGGATCTGAAGATCTGTGATTTTTCCTATACCTGGGAAGTTTCCACCACTATTTTGTTGAAAATGTTTTCAATACAATCTCCTTTTTCCTCCCTTTCTGGGATAGCCATGATTCGGATATTTGAGTGCTTAAGGTTCTCTGATATCTCTCTCAGATTTTCTTCAATGCCTTTGATTCTTTTTTCTTTCTTTCTTTTTTTTTTTTGTCTGCCTGTGTTATTTCAAACAGCCCATCCTCAAGTTCAGAAGTTCTCCCTTCTACTTCTGCAAGCCTGCTGGTTAAACTCTCTGTTGTGTTTTTTATTTCGCTGAATAACTTCTTCAGTTCAGCAAGTTCTGCTACTTTTTTTTCAGGGCATTGATTTCCTTGTACATTTCCTCTTTCATTTCCTGTATACTTTTCCTCGTTTCATGATGATGTCTAGCTGAGTTTTCTTGTATCTCATTGTTTCCTTAGAATTATCACTTGAAATTCCTTGTCAGTCATTTCAAGGGCTTTTTGTTCTATAGGATCTAGAGCTTGAGATTTATTATCTTTGGGTGGTGTACTTTCCTGATTTTTCATTTTTCTGGTGTCTTTTCTTTGATGTTTATTCATTGTGGCAGGGGGTTTCACAGTCCACAGGTTTGACACTATTGCCTGACTAAGATGTTGCTGGAGTTGCCAATTTGGTATGGCTACCTCAGTGACTACTTAGTTGGCCACTAGTGCCTTGCATGTGTGGTTGCCTTGGGTCTTGGGCATCTCCAGGGAGCCATATCCCTGGTCAGCTTGGACTCTGTCGGGTTTCTGGGTGATGGGGTGGTACCACAGGGTGTCGCTCCTACCGGTGCCCGTACCCCCACTGCTGCCGCCAGCACCACTCCCGCGGGCTCCGCTCCCACCAGCTCTGCTGCTGATGCTTCCCCTGCTGCCACCACTACTGCTGGTGCTGCTTCCCCTGCTGCTGCCCTGCCGCTGCTGCTGCCACCACCGGCTCCTCCGCTGCTGCTGCTGCCACTGGTTCCACCGCTACTGCTGCTGCCGCCTTTACTGCTGGTGATGCTTCCGCCACTGTCGAGGGCACCGCTGCTGCCACTGCCGCTGCCACCAGTTCCTCCGCCGCTGCTGCTGCTGCCACCTCCGCTACCGCCGGTTCCTCCGCAGCTGCCACTGCTACTTCTGCAGGCGGGCATAGAGTTGTGTAGTCACCAACTGCAAGTGGCAGTGGCTCCAGCCTTTCTAGCGGCCCTCTCTGGGGTTGAGCTGGGGCAAGTCACTACCTTTTCTTCTTTCCTAGTAGGCACTGTGATTTCTTCCAGTCCCTGGGGCCCCCGAGTCTTGAGTTTCCACCACTGCTGCTGACTTCAACCGCCATAGTTTCTGAGGCCCTGATTACCCAAAATGTCCATCTGTAGCAGTGTCTTCTAATCATGCATCAGCTACCACTGTGACTCAATCACATTCCTGTAACTCACGAGGACACTGCAGAACGCTCTTCAGGCTGACGGACGATGACCAGAATGAAACAGCAGACCAGCTACACCAACCACAACAGGAATGATGGCATGTGCACAGTAGTCCTCCACCGTCAGGCGAGGAGTCTCCACAGATGCTGGGCAGCACAAGCGCCAGCAGCACGAACAGCACGGCCACCACGTCGTCCTACGCGTTCCGCCTCCAGTCACCGCCATGGCCGCTGCCGCTGCCGTAAACAAAGCATAGTCATTTTGGTTTTGAAAATCACTTTAACTCTCTCAGCTTTCATTTCTTTGTCTGTAAAATGGACAAGTAATAGTTATATTACAGGGGCATCGTGGTAACGACATGTGAGATCCTTCCCTCAGCCTGAGGAATTCACAGTCGGTGGAAGCCTCTGGGTGATGAGATGAGTGGGGCCTTAGCCTGTGTCCACTCACTCCCTCAGAAAACCTTAATTCACGGGGAAGCAGTGCTAGATGGAGATGTGGTGACATCATGGTCAGGAATGCTTCCTCCTGCACTGACGTTAACCCAACAGAGCTTCCTGGAAAGCTCAGGGTGTGTTGTGAAGCAGGCAGGGCTCAAGCTGCGAGCCCCGTGAGGATGCCAACCACAACAGGAATGACGGCATGTGCACAGTAGTCCTCCACCGTCAGGCGAGGAGTCTCCACAGATGCTGGGCAGCACAAGCGCCAGCAGCACGAACAGCACGGCCACCACGTCGTCCTACGCGTTCCGCCTCCAGTCACTGCCATGGCCGCTGCCGCTGCCGTAAACAAAGCATAGTCATTTTGGTTTTGAAAATCACTTTAACTCTCTCAGCTTTCATTTCTTTGTCTGTAAAATGGACAAGTAATAGTTATATTACAGGGGCATCGTGGTAACGACATGTGAGATCCTTCCCTCAGCCTGAGGAATTCACAGTCGGTGGAAGCCTCTGGGTGATGAGATGAGTGGGGCCTTAGCCTGTGTCCACTCACTCCCTCAGAAAACCTTAATTCACGGGGAAGCAGTGCTAGATGGAGATGTGGTGACATCATGGTCAGGAATGCTTCCTCCTGCACTGACGTTAACCCAACAGAGCTTCCTGGAAAGCTCAGGGTGTGTTGTGAAGCAGGCAGGGCTCAAGCTGCGAGCCCCGTGAGGAGTTTGTTGGGTTTGTTCCTATGGGACGGATGTGGTTGGGCAGAGGCTCAAGAGAGGGTGTTTTATGGGACACTTTGGCACCTCTGGTGCTGTGGGTCCGTCCCATGCAGCACAGAAGTACATGGCAGGCACTCTTTTCTCTTGCTCTGGACATTAACATTTTTGGTTGCTTCAAATTTCACATTCCAAGTCCAACTGCAAACAGAACAGGGAATTCCCATGAACATATGAGATAGAGAGAGGAAATGATAAAGAATCTCTTTCATCTCCCATCTGCATTGAAATAATTGAGGAGCAACTCACAACCACAAAGCGAGAGAATATCAGTGTCCCCAGCAATGAACTCCTCCTGTCTGCCAGACCGTGTCCCTAGGAGAAGACAGGAAGGTGGGGAGCTTGGTTGCTGCAGGGCCCAGGGGTGGCAAAACTCAGTGCAAGAGGAGGAAGAAGAGGGTCAGGTGTCCCCAAGGCCTTCATGGCCTGCCACAGGGCTGAGCAGTTCCCACACGTGCAGAGGGTTCATGATTTGGACAGGAATGTGTCTGTGGGCCATGGTGGAGGCAGTCCTGGTGTTCACCGATTCTGTTACAAACTTACCTGCTCCCTCCTTAATTTTCAGACTACAGAAACACTGCTCCAGAGATGTGAGCACATGGCTTTTGCATCCAGCACAAAACTTGATCTCATTGTTAATTTGTTTGGGATTCGAGACTCAGGAGGATGAAACAAGGACAGTACTTTATATTTCCTTAAAAACAGGCAAAATAATGGCTGGTGGTTCAGTGATAATGTGAAACTCTGCTGCAGGTCAAATAAAAAACCTATCCTTCTAGACTCCATGAAGCTTCCATTATTAACTACTGTAAGTGAATTAAACCACTGGGCTACAGAAAAGACAATAAATTTTATGCAACAATAGTGGTGAGGAAAAGTGGCCAAAAATGCTTTTCAGTCTGTCCCCGCATCTTAAATTCAATCCTGGAGAGCTGGTGCTCACCAGCTCTTGGCCTTTTTAACTTCCCAAGTGGGTCATTCGAGGTTTGGCAGATGGATTTTATCCATCTACCTTGCACACATGGATTCAAATATGTTTTGGTCTTCATCTTGGGTGGCACTCCCATACAGATGGGCCCCTGCCTCAACAGTGGCTAAAGTCCTGTTAGAGAAGATAAGTTCTATTTGGGGTACCCCTCTCGAGCTTCATAGTGATCACAGAACCCATTTTACTGGACATGTTTTGAAACAAGTGTGTGCTCTATGGCCAGTCTACGGCATTTCCACAGTGCTGTTCACCCCCAGTACCCTGGACTAGTTGAACACACCAGTAGTATTCTTAAGATCAGGTTGCAAAAGTTTATGGAACTTTACAACTGCCATGGCCAATGGCCAAAAGCCCTGCTTATGAGTGCTCGTGAGCTTAAGAGATACACCCTGGGAATTACACAAGCTCTCATCTTTTGAGATAATTACTAGACATCACATGCATCTGGCCCCAAAATTAATCAAAGGTGAAATGCTTCAGTATTGTAAAGGTATAATTAAGGCTATGAATTAAAATTATACTCTGGTAGGACAATCTTTCCACAGTTTGCTTTTAGGAGACAAAGACCTAAAGCACCATAATCCACAACCAGGAGATTTTTGTCTGTTGGAAAAGATATTTGCAAAAGGACTCCCTCCAATCTTGCTGGAAATTTCCACACCAGGTCCTGCTGACCAACTCCTGTACAACCAAACTTAAAGGAGTTCATTCCTGGATACATGTATTTCATTTAAAGAAAACATCACGTCCCGAATGGACCTGCACTCCTCTCAATGAATTAAACCTGAAAATTTCCAGGGTTTGAAGCAGACAGCCCCCAAGTAGACTTTTCCCAAAGATGTCTAGAGCAAGCCCGTATAATCTTTCCTTACTTTCAATTCTTACTTTATTTTCTCCCTCTTTTTCCCAGAAAGACAAGGCCCTTATCTGCATTTTGCAGTATGTCCTCACAGGGGAGACCTTGTTGATTGTCAAAATTGTCACCAGAAACCTTGATCTGTTAACCCTAGCTTAACCTGTAACAAACTTCTCCAATATCCCAGATCCAACCACCTGTACAGATTGTGTCCCTGGACCGTCCTATAGGATTAAACTTTCTCAGCCACCTTCAACTCCTGTCCCGTCTCATGTACTCAAAGTGGTGTTCCCATAGTTGTACCTAGAAATGTGGCATGGGTCATCCCCTTTACAATGTTCCTTTGGGCTCCCTAACATATGTAAAAAGTTTTGGGGGCAATTCTGAAAGGAGGGGCCATTACAATATTTAGTAATACAACTGACCCTTGGTTCAATTCCATTATTCGAGTATACAGAAAATTCACAGACAGAAGAATTGTCTGTGCTCTTATGGGGTACATTTAATTTTGTTGTTGGGAAATCTCATTCTGGGCCTTCAGGTATTTAGACACCTGGACAACCAGAGCACAAGGTGGATCGGGATATTTACTCTCTTATCAATGCATAATAGACCTGAAACTGATCACTGGAATAATCTCTGAACCAGCCCCCTCTCACTAAGCATAAGGTCAAATATGAGTTACCTGGTGAATTCTGGGATTCTGGATTTGCTTCCTGTGGCAGATATTTTCCACCATGGTGTGTCATAGCCATGAACGAAGAAACGATAAGAAATGTACCTGCTACCCTGGGAATTCTTGCAGACTCCACTATAAATGGTATTGCTGCTGAACAGTGCTCAACTTCTCTTCTGGGGTGGTCTTAGATAATAATATCACTCTGTTATCTATCAGCTGAGCAAGGTTGTGTCTGTGCTATTGCTGGTACCACACACTGTATCTGGATAAACTCCTCTAGGGAAGCTGAGACTTAGTTGCATCAAACAAGAGAACAAGCCACATGGCTACAAGTCTCACCATTTCATGTTGTCATTGATCTATTTAGTTTGTTCCCCTTACGTCTATGTTCATGGCTGAAAACCATCATACAAACTGGAATTGTTGTATTTCTGTTCTCCTTACTCTGTATTTCCTTTGTTAAACTCTATACTTGTTACCTGTTAAACCTCTGCAGAAATGCAACTCCTGGCAAAGTAATGCGGGCCCAGCACATTCAGATGGAACCGAAGCTTGTGGAACAGACATCATCGAACTTAACTGTGAAATCCAGACAACCCAGGCCTCAGAGCTCTTCCTCCTGAGAGCTCCTCCTTCTGGCCTCCTTGCTGCTCACACGTGGCTACAAGGGTCTTGACACTGACA